ACCCTTATGACCTGACCAAAGTTAACCCTCTCTGACCTACAAAACATCCCCTGCTTTTCCATTTCTGTACCTTTGCTTCTACTATTCTCCCACCTAAAATTCATTCCCTGACACATTCTGATAAAGGGCCTTCCATCCCTCAGGTCTGTTTCAAACTCTATCGGGGCCACCCAGCCCTTCTGATGATCCCTGGAACAGACATACTCTCTTTCTGTTTTGCATCTCTGGGAAGTTCTTTCTCTCAGGGCACTAACTTGTCACCATTTGGTGAGCAATGATTTGCATTTAGGTCTTCTCATTTGCCTTGGCCCTGTATCCATAGCACCCAGCAAAGCCCCTCATCACTACCATGTGCTTTCTTCCCAGGGTTCAGCAACATAGGCATTTGTGCACCTGTTCATCTAAAAGCATTTACAAAGCACCCAGGCCCAGGAGGAGGGCAGGACGGTGAATAAGCTGGGCACTTGAAATAACGCCCCTCAAGGAGCTCATGACTCAGTGGGTGAAACCAAGGTTTTGATCTAAGTATCATGAAGCATCACGATGGAGTCCAGGTGGGGCACAGATGACCTCAAAGGATGGGGCCAGTCCTTTCCTGGACTAAGGGTCTAGGAGGTTTCACAGAGGAGTTAATGCCAGTCTTGACAGATAAATATGTGATGGCCAGGTGGGCAGAGTGAGGGAATGAAAAAGCACGAACAAGGGAAGAATAAGACACAGCAGAAGACCAAGAGGGAGACGGGGAAAAGGAAGGGAGGGAGGAAAAGAAGGAGCAAGGGAAAAGGACAAGCCCGCTAGCTAGAGTGGGAACATCCAGGGAGGGCTCTAGTTTGTTTTCAGGTCCCAGAGAGCCCAGAGATCACTTCTTGGCTGCAGCACAGGACTTGGCAGAGAAGACGGAAGGCGGACACATGCAGGAGGAAGTTTGAGAAGGGGGTCTCGGCCTGGAGGAAGAAGGTGGGGAGGGGATTCAGACCTAGACTTCCTCCTAGAGGCCAGTAGGCAGGAAGTGAGGGTGGAGGCAGAGAGATAAGTCTGACAGGAAGCTGAGGGAACAAAGGAGTTACACCTGATAGCAGTCGGGGTGAGTCCTCAGCAGAGGAGGTGGGAGGGAGAACAAGGTGGCCCAAGAACAGCGGTGAAGGTCAGAAAGGCCAGCTGAGGACGGGGAAGACGACAGCCAGGACTTCTGGCCAAGTTGAGAGCTTCCAGAAGCCCTGATGAATGCGCTGGAGAGGTCCCCCAACAGTACCCATTACTGGTGGACCAGCAAAGGCCAATGGTAGACTCACTCAAGATGGAGGATGAACAAGGAGACAAGGGGCCAGTGGACTGATGGCTCTTAAAACAGGATAGCGGTGCTGTCTGGGCTGGGTAGAAGGAAACTGCAGCCTAACGGAAGAAAGTTTCGGGTCATCAGTAAAATCCAAGAGCAGGCTTGGGAGGCATGAGAGTTTGGAGGATAGAAACATGTGGCCAGAGAGAGGATACGAGAGCTTAAAATCCCAGAGCTATGCTCGCCAAGTAGACCATGTGCTGGGCCATAAAACAGGGCTCAATACATGTGAGAAGATTGTGAAATTATCACCACAATTTAATTCTGGAATATTTCCATCACCTCAAAAAAAGAAACCCCACACCCATGCAGTTACTCCCATTCCCATCATCAGCTCCTGGCAACCATCAATCTACTTCTGTCTACAGGTCTGCCTATTCCGAACAGGTCATGTCAATGGAATCATGTGGTCTTTTATACCTGGCTTCTTTTATTTAGCATAATGGCTTTCAGATTTATCCGTAGCCTGTTTCTTTTTATGGTGAAATACTATTTCATTCTACGGAATACATTATTTATCCATTTATTAGTTGATGGACATTTGAATTATTTCTAGTTTTTGGTTATTATGAATAATGCCACTGTGAATATTCACATTTAAGTCTTTGGGTGGATGTTTTCATTTCTCTTGAGTATATACCTAGGAGTGGAATTGCTGAGTCCAATGAAAATTATACACACACACATATATATATGTGTGTGTGTGTGTGTGTGTATATATGTTTGTTTAAAAAAATTTTTTTCTTTATTGATTTTAGAGAGAGGGAGGGAGAGGGAGAGAGAGATGGAAACATCGATGAGAGAGAACATCAACTGGCCGCCTCCTGCATGCCCCCCACTGGGGATTGAGCCCACAACCTGGGCATGTGCCCTGACCGGGAATCCAACTGGTGACCTCTTGGTGCGTGGGTCGATACTCAACCATTGAGCCACACCGGCCGGGCGGTAATTCTATATTTAACACCTGAAGAAACTTTCAAATCGTGTTCCAAAGTGTAGTTCCCATTTCTCTACTTCCTTGCCAACATTTGTTATGGGCTAACTTCTATTATTATAGCCAAGATGTTAAAAAGAACAAAACCCAGCAATATACAAAAATTAAACAACACATTTCTAAATAATCTATAGGTCAAGAAGAAATAAGAGGGAAATTAGAAAATACTGAAACAGAAGGGTAATAAAAAATATTTCTATAAATATGTAAAAAGCAAAAAATATAAAAAGGCGTTTACTAAATACACTCTATGCACACCTTTTGCCCTCTTCTCTCCCAGCTACTAACATATTTTTTAATTTTTCTTTTTCAGTCCAACTTTTCAGAAAGAAGTACCCATACTCCTGTTCGTGCGTTCATTTCCTTGGCCTACACCCTCAAGAGAATGCAGTCGGCTTGCAGATGCTCCCGTCCATTGGCACAGCACTGACTGAAGGTCCCAGGGGCCTCCTGTTGCTCAGCCAGCAATTCCACTTGTCCTCTCGGCATCATAGATGCCGATGTTCCCCCTACTTCTCTGGTCTCCCCCCTAACTCTCTGTCATGTTTGTGCCTCTCAAAGATCAGTCTCAGATCCTCTTTTCTCCTTCTGCATCCTCTTTTTAAGAAAAAAATTTTTTTTCTTTATTGATTTTAGAGAGAGGAAGGGAGAGAGAGAGAGAGAGAGATAGAAACATTGATGAGAGAGAACATCGATTGGCTGCCTCCTGCATGCCCCCCACTGGGGATCGGGCCCACAACCTGGGCATGTGCCCTGATCGGGAGTCAAACCGGTGACCTGTTGGTGCATGGGTCGATGCTCAACCACTGAGCCACACCTCTCTTTTTAGAGGACCTCATCCATCCCACATTTTCAATGACCACCCATACACAAATGACCTTGTTTGTATGTGTCCAGCCCAGATCCCTCCTCTGAATTTCTAGCCTTTGGATCCAATAGCTCTCCTCCAGGATCTTCCCAGAGCTTCTCAAACACAGTGTGTCCACATCCAAACTCATCTCACCGACCCAGTCCAGGTCCTCTTCTGAAATTTCTCCTTTCGGTAAATGGTACCATCTGTCCAGCTGCAAGTCTGGAACCTAAGAGTCATCTTTAAACCCCCACATCCAACCCTTCATTACATCTTACTGATTTAACCTCAGACATTTCTTGAATAGCTGATGTCATCTCCCTCTTGGCTCCTACCATGCCATTCTCTCAGGGAGACTACGAACCTCCTAGAGTTTCCCTGGACTCACACACACCACCCAAGCCGTTCTGCAGACTGGGGGCAGAGAGGCTTGTTACATCACAGTCATGTCATGTCACTCTCCCGCTTCAGTGGCTCTCAACATAAAGACAAAACTTCAGTGTGACTTAATTGGCCTATTCCAACCTGGTCTCTACCCTCTTTCTAGACTCTTCTCTGAACCACCCTCCCTTTTCCCCGTGTTTCATACAGTGGGGTCCTTCCTCACACTCGCCACTCTCCCGCTAAGCCTTTGCACATGTTACCCCCTCTGCCTGGAACACGCTCCCCTTCCCCTTTTGCCACGTTAATTGTTACTTCTCCTTCATCTCTCTCGAGCATCACTTCCGCAGGTAAGGCTTTCCCGACCTCCCTGACAAGGTCAAATGCCCCAGTTATTATCAAATCCCCTGGTCTCTTCTTTCTTTTTTTTTTTTCTTTGGTGGTACGTACCCCTAGCGGGAACCGAACCCGGGACTCTGGTCCGCAGGCCGATGCTCAACCACTGAGCCAAACTGGCCAGGGCCCCTGATCTCTTCTTAGCACCTACTGCAGCTACGGTTTTACCACTGAATTTGGGTTATTGTATAATCCGGTTGTCCTCCTCGAATGGACTGTACGCTCCATGAGGGCAGGGCCATATCTGGTTTTACATACAGGGTGGGGTGAAAGTAGGTTCACAGTTGTGTGTATGGAAAATGATACAATAACGAATACACAATAATACACAAAGAAAAACTCAGTTTCACATACTCACAATAGTAAACCGACGTCTGTCCCACCCTGTTGTTATATGCCCAGTGCCCCACAGAGCTTCACATAGAGGAGCCACTGAAAAAGACTCTGTTGAATGAGTAACTGAGTGATGGCAAAGTTACCGAAGACGAAAACAGAACCTGAAGTGGAGAAAACGCCAGTGAAGACGTACTACTGTCTTCCAAGAATAAAGGAGAGTGACTGGGTGGTAGAAAGGCCAAGAAAGGGTCGAGGATCCTGCAGACGAAGGTCGATGCCCCAGGGCATGCGGCTGCGTGAAGGTGGGGTGTTCTGGGGGCACAAAGTTAGGCACGGACAAAAGAACTCTCCCAGAGATTCACCCCCTTGCCCGGGCCAGATTTTCTTCAGAATAAAGAGGAAGTACCCCTCATGATCAGTACCCAAAGGGGCACAAGTTTTCTTAGAGGAAGCAGAACAGCTGTCATTCACTAAAGGAAGTTGTCAGCCAATGAAAATGGGGTAGAAGGTGCCACCTCAAGCTGGCCATTGAACCCCTGCAGATCTGCTATGGTCCCGCTCCCGAGGAAAGGGTCAGCTAACACAGAGAGTCCTCCGCTCCCCCAACCGCCACGTGGCATCTCACGAGCAGTTTTTGCTTTCTTTGCAAACACTAAAAACCAGGTGTTTGAGGCTTGAGTTCAAACACTTTCTACGAAGACACATACCTTGGTCCATCCAGGAAACTGAATAAAGGTGTCCTGGGGCAAGTCTGGGATTCCACTGGGAATGGAGAAGTTTCCCACATAAAAGGCCGGGAGTGTATAGTTAGACGAGCTGTGGGCACAGGCTTCCCGACGGCAGCTTCTGGGATTGGCCTGCCAGCCCTCCAGGTGGCACACTGCATTCTCAGTGTCCAGGGGGAAGATCATCCAGTTGGTGAGGATACTGGAGTTCAGGGTCAGGTTAGAAATCAGACCCTGCAAAGGATAAACAGGGCAATGAGCTGGGGTGGGAAGGAAGCGGTTTTAAGTGTGTCTGCATTCCAGCCCTGAATTCCTGGGAGAGCAAACTGGGATGTGAAACACAAGAATGAATGAGCCTTGCCCAGCCTCAGTGGTTTGAGCGTGGTCCCACAGACCGAGAGGTTCTGGTTCGATTCCCAGTCAGAGCACGTGCCTGAGCTGCGGGCTCGATCCCCAGGGGGCAGCGTGCAAGGGTCAGCCAATTGCTGTTTCTCTCTCACATCTATGTTTCTATCTCTCTCTCTTCCTTTCTCTCTAAAACAAAATCAATGAAAAAACATATTTAAAAAAAAGAGTAAATGAGCCTCGAACAGTATGTGACACAGATCTGGCTTAGGAGGAATCACCTCTCCTTGGGAAGAGGTACATTTCCCAAACCACAGCTTTCTCTCTCCTCTGCAGGCCAGGATGTCCCCACAGAGCCCAGAGTTCTGCCTCTGCAGAAAGGGGGTTGAGCTACTAGCGCTTTTAACCTCAAATTCCCAATTTTCAGTGTTGGCTTCAGAGTCATTGCTAGAATGGAAGACAAGGGGGAATCTGAGGAACGCAACAGAAGGCGCAGCCCTCCGGAGAGGAGGGAGGGACAGACTCTGCCCCTGACACGTAACCCCGAGCAGGCAAGTCTTCACCTTGCGCTCCTCAGCGTCACACACAAGGGTGATCACACCCGAGTCCACTCACCCGTTGTAAGGACGAACTGAGACAATATACACGAGAATACTTCGACACAGTCTTTCTCTCTTATCTGTGGGGCATCTGTTCCAAGATCCCCAGTGGATGCCTGAGACCGCGGGTAGCACTGAACCCTGCATATACTGTGTTTTCTCCTTTTCACTTAAAGGAAGCACTTTAGAGCCTTTGGCACATCTGAATCGCCAGCATCAGTACTTTGGTGCTTCGGGGCCATTATTAAGTAAAATGAGGGTTACTGGAACGAAAGCACTGCAGTACTACCATAGTGGATCTGGTGACCGAGACAGCTACTCCATGGCTAAGGAGCTGCGGGCTACACAGTGTGGAGATGCTGGACAAAGGGATGACCCACTTTCCGGCAGGATGGAGCAAGACAGCACGAGATTTCATCACACTACTCAGAACAGTATGCAATTTAAACCTGAAATTGTTTCTGGAATTTTCTGTTTAATGTTTTTGGACCATGGTTGACTCTGGGTAAGGTGGCCACTGAATCGTAAAGACATACAAAGTGATGGTGCTGGTGAACCTCGGATGTGTACGCTGACGTTGCTCTATGTGCCCAGCCGGGGCAGGGGGCGGGTGTCCATGGCACCGGACACCGCATTGAAGCCTCTGCTCACAGGTCCTCTAACGTCCCCTTCGTGGCCTTTCATGCGGGAGAACACCTTCATTCCTCGTGAGACCCCAAGTTTGTCTCAGACATCACTCAATAGCAAGGCTCAATGGCTCATCTAGTAATTCAATGAATATTAACTAGGCACCTGTGTGCCAGGCTCTCCATTGGGTACTGGGGACCCAGAGACTACATAGGCATCCGGGTCCCTCCACGTGTCAGCGTGGCTGATGAGAGCCAGGCAGGAGGGCCACCAATAACAGCCTGTAACAGGGACATTTCTGTTGGAGACAAAGGTGGCCCCAGCATGGGCATTCCGAAGGCTATAATTGCCTTCCCTGCGAGCTGCCACGCAGAGGGACAGGAGGGAGCCCCAGACACCTGTCCTGTCCTAGCCTGCGTGGTGCTGTAATTCCCTGGGTGCAGGCCTTCTCTCCTCTTGCAGACAGTGAGGTAGCACAGAATCTACCTCAACATCTTTGCACCCCCTGAAGCACTTCAGAGTATGAGATTAACAAACGTTTGTAGAGTCATGATCTAAAAATATGCGTGTGAGAAAAACATATTTGGACGACACGCCTGGGCACAGAGGAACCAACAGGGGCGAGAGGCCATGCACCAAGGCTTCGCACGGGTCAAGAGTGTCATGGACTGCCCACACCCAGGAAACAGAGCAAACCCAGCGCTAAGCTGGCTTTGTTGGCAAGGGAGTGCCTTTCGAGAATTAGGTGGGTTTTGTAAGCAAAGGAAAAGCACAGTGGAGTGGTTTCCTTCTTCTGTTTCTTTCTACAGTTCGACTGAACTCAAACGCAAGGGAAGGGTTCTGTCTGCAAAGCTCATCACCTGCAGAGGAAAACAGGTCTTCAAAATAACCCAACTTCTAAGTTGCAAAACAAATCAAGGTAGGTTCACTCATCCAGTTTGACAAAGGGTGAGCGCGTTTTTTGGTAAAAAAAGGACTTGGAATTGATTTTTTTTTTTTTTTTTTGCGAGAAACATCGATGTGAGATGAAGCACAGATCCGCTGCCTCCTGCACGCCCCCTACCAGGGATTGAGCCCACAACCCGGGCGTGTGCCCTGACCGGGAATCAAACCGGTGACCTTTCGGTGCACAGGACAATGCCCAACCAACTGAGCCACACCTGCCAGGGCCAAAGTGTGTGTGCTTACATTTTAAGAATTGCTTCCTTGTTAACAGAGCTGGAGGGAAAGATTACGCATGAACGTTTTTAAATAGATTTACAGAAACTTTCTCGGGTGGCTTGGGCACAGTCCTGCCAACCTTCGACCTCACTCGTGACAGCGAGGCTGGGCCTACCTTATAATCCTTGATATAATGGCCATAGTTCACACGTCCCATGTTCTCCACCAGAAGGTCCAGAGTGGCTCCAGCTCTCCCGGTTATGTTCAGAGTGGTCAAAAAGCTTCGGTCAAGGACTCCCTGGGGGACCTGTGGGTTCAATGCCAAGTGAGAGTTACCGAAGGCGAGAAGCCCAGCAGAGAGGCAGCTCGCTCTGGAAATTCAGCACTCATTTTACTGCCTTGAAGTGTCACCAGGCTTGGGAGGAAATGTTTTGATGGCCCCTACGTCCATGTCACCGGCCAGGTGGCCAACTTCCTCTAATCATTGCTTTCCAAACAAGAAAGTTGCCAGGCAGTGGTGTGCAAGGAAAGGTCTAGACCAGTTTCCTCTGCTCTGGAATGTTTTGCTTCGTGTCTATTTTTAATAGGAGGGGAGTGGAGGCAAAAAATGCCAGGGGAGGATTCCTATCCCAGGAACCTCCTTGTGTTCTCGCGGTGCAAAAGGTAGTCATAAAAAAGTAGCTTCTAAACAACACCGTGAGCTGAGACAAAATCAGATAAACGAGATAAAAATCAGCAAATGAGGTGGAGTATTCTCATCTCAAAACACCTGATATAATGCATTAACCAATAAAATGACAAAATAGGATGAACAAAAACAACAGGCCTTTTAGCAGCAATATATTCTTAATATTTTAAAAGATGAGATTTAAAGAAAAAAATTAATGCTACTGACCATAATTCACTAACTCAACTCCTAATTTGAAATCCAAGACACCATTGCCATCAGTATACACATAGTATCTTAGAAACTTGTTCCCACTGGGGGGAAAGAACCACTAATGATAATAGAATGAAAATATTTTAATTAAAAATTTCTGAACAAATTTTCTTGGTTAGGAACATCTCCTTAGGTATTCTTTCACATGTATATTTCATTGAGAGAATGGAAATCCTAACACGTATCCTTACTTTGTTCTGAAACAAAGTTCTTTGTGGATTTTAGCTATAATTATCATGAACGATCCTTCAGAATATAATTTTTCATAAATGAGTCACTGCTCTGGCATGTACAAAAGGGACCCTGTCCTCAAAGAGCCAAGACGACATGGGTGACATGTGGTGATCAGTCAGAAAGGATGGCCTCAGAATGGGGAGACCAGAAAGTTTTTGGAGAAGGCGGGGCCTTGAGCAGGTTAAGATGAGAGGGTGATTCCAGGCGGATGGAGCATGAGCGAGGCCATGTTAGCAAATGAGGGGTACAGCTAAGGGACCATAGGAGGGGCAGAGTCTGAGGTCAGAAGGGTGGGCCGAGGTCTCGAACACCATGTTACCAAGTGCAGAGCTACAGTCAGAGACGATTCTTACCCCATCCACGGAGACGTAGGCCCGGTCGTGGACCCCACCGAAGGGTGCAGAGAGGGGCGTTGGGTCGCTGCAGTCTTCAGGAAGTGTTGTTCGGTACAGCACAAACCCAAAATACTGGTTAGAAAAGGATGCAAGAAGAAGTCATTCCTTTTGCCCTTTGTGTTAAGAGAACTTGGTCACCCTCGATCTGGGTGGAAGTGATGTTTCTGAAACCGTAAGGAATGAAATGCTCCCTCGGCCTCTGGGAAAAATTCAGTCTGAAAGAGGGGAACTGGCTTCAGGTTCTCGATCGTGGAATAACTACCATAACCCCGAAGGGCGTTCTGTCAAACATCCTTTTCCCATGGGAGGAAATGGGGCCCTGAATCACCAAAGGGGATCTAATCGCATGTATCAAAGGTTGTTTATGTCACCTCAACAAACAAAACAAGGAAACAAACAAAAAAGACAAACACGGAAAACAAAGCCCAGAATGTTCGGTAAAACATTCTCCCTGGCCTTGGGCTCGATCGGCTCGAACATGCAAAACAAGAGTCAACCAGAAACTGTTTCAGGTGGAGGAGTGGGGGAAGCGGAGCCAGCGAGGGCGGGGGTGTAACCTGCTGCTAAGTCAGAAAAGACTTTTAGGTGCCGGTGTCCCTGCTGCGAAAGGGGGCTCCGGGCAGCCAGCCTGGGCAGCACCAGCATCCACAGCCTCGAGTGGCCCTCCTGCTGTGGACGTCAGCCAGGGTGAGCTGGACCGAAACCTAAGTCAGTGGAAAGAATCCAGCTCTGAATCCTTCATGGACCAGAGAAAACGTTCCTCCCTGCTGGGGCCCGGAAAGCAAGGAAGGCAAGTGGAAAGGGGATTTAGAGGAGCCGGAAAGAATGTTAACCCATGTCCCTGTGCTGCAGGAAAGGGCTGAGCTCAAGAAATGACACTGGTGTCGCCACTGAGCCTTCAAGCTCGGGATGGCTTCCTCCCCGACCCCAAGTCTCCATCTGCCTCTTGTTTTGTTTGGTTCTTTTGAAAGTAACCCAAATGGTAAGTCCTTTTTTTATCCTTACCCGAGGATATTTTTTCATTTTTTGTTCAGATAGAGCGGGAAGGAGAGAGAGGAAAAGAGAGAAACATCAATGTGAAAGGGACACATCGAGTGGCTGCCACCCGCACGACCAACCAAAGCCAGGGACAAACTGCCACTGAGGTACATGCCCTTAGCAGGAACCAAACCCAGGTCTCTCTGGACCTCAGGCTGATGCTTTAACCGCTGAGCCAAACCGGCCAGGGCCAAATGGTAAGTCTTAACTCAGAGGCTGAGGAAAACTTTGAGAAAGGCTGTGATGCTCCCTGCAAGGGTGTAGTTGAGGCCTCCGAGGTTGGGGGCAGGGGTGTACCAGGGCTGCACCCCACTCCCTGCAGGTGTGTCCTCCATGGGTTTCATTGAAAATAAACATCTTGTGGGTTTGCCCCAGACTCGAAACAACCGGGGCTCAGGGAACCACATCCAACCCAAGAGCCCTGCCTTGGTCAAGGATCAGAAAGCAGAGGGGCCTGAGAGAGAGCAAAGACTGTGAGCGTCTGTACATGAACCTGGAATTCAGTTCCCAGGCTCCGGCTGCTCTAGTGGCTGTGACCTCTCTGATGCGCTCCACGACCCCGCCCGCGGGAGAAGGCATGTCCCATTTCATAGCTGAAGACGTCACATTCAGCCAGTGCATGCTCCGACGACAGAAATAACTCTGCTCGGTGCTCATGAAACAGTAGGGAGTGGGGGGACTCATTCATCTTATTTATCATACACCAGAGTTGTTGGACTAAAACATTCTTGTAAAATTTCCCAAGTGTAAAAACAGTCCCTTGTAAAACATCCTTGTGGCCCTGGCCAGTTTGGCTCAGCGGTTAGAGCGTTGGCCCGTGGACCAGAGAGGCCCGGCTTCAATTCCCATTAAGGGCATGTACCTTGGTTGCAGTATGTCCCCAGCTCTGGTTGGGGTTGTGTGGGTGGTGGCCACTCAGTGTGTCTCTCTCACGTTGATGTTTCTCTCTCTCTCTTCCTCCCTCTCTCCCTCCTGCTATATCTGAAAATAAATGCAAAAATGTCCTAAGGTGAGGATAAAAAAATAAATTAACAAAAAGAGAACATCCCTGTGAAACTTGTGAAATGTTATAAGTGTAGGAATAGTAAGTGGAGGCAAAACACACTAAACTAAGATCAGATGTGCGACTACTCTATCACCTGATTGTTGGGACGCCTCCCAGAAGGCAGTCTCTACAGAAAGGCAGAGAGGAGGAGCCCATTCAAAAATGGGGCTGAAATCCTGACTGACTGATCCAACTTAACATGGCTGACCTCACAGGACCCCGAGGACACATCACCTTTGTCTTGTTTGTGCCAAAATGTTTTACTGAATCTAATCAGTGAGGGGCAGTCTGCCAAACAGCTGGTCCGAACTCTTCGGAAGTGTTCATGTCACGAGAGAGAGAGAAAAGACTCAGGAACAGCTTCAGAGGAAAGAGACATTGTCATTAAATGTGATGTATGATCACGGACTGGAAACTGGATTGAAAGAGTCAAGCTACAAAGGACGTTACTGGAATAACCAAGCACTGGGATATCCGGCTACGGAATGGATATTAGATAACTGGATTGCATCAACGTCAAATGGCCTAAGTGTGACCATGCTATTGTGTCATGCAGGATACTCTGCTTCTTCTTAAAAGATAGATGCTGACAACTAATTCAAATGGTAAAAAAAAAAACCAAAACCAAAACCACAGCAATTGATACACACACAGGAACATGGAGCAAGTAAACAAATGTTAACACTTGGCGAGTCTCGGTGGAAGCCACATTATGAGTGTTGGTTGTACTATTCTTGCAACTCTTACATTTAAAATTTTCCAAAATAAAAATGTTGGGAAAGCTCTTAAATTAAAGATGGGGAAGCACCTAGAAATCAGACACACACACACACACACACACACACACACACACACACGATGTGCCTGTTTTCTCTCTTCTTCAAAAGCAGGAAAAAGAATCTCTAAGAACCTAATCTAGTAGGAACACAGTCCTTCTACCCTTGAGCTAACTTAAGGACAAATAACTAAATCGTCATTTTTGAGTACAAAAATAGTGTTTTTTTCCACTGGGACCTAGTAATAAAGATCAATGAAATCAGATGTGTACTCAATTTATAGCTTGTACAGAATCATATGGAAACAGGTTAAGCTACAACTTATTTGAGAGATAAGAAATGGGGGGACAACAGGAAAGATCAGCCTAAATGTGCAATATTAAAGCTACAGAGCGCCTGGAAATCCACCACTAGGTTAGCTGGGGTCTGATTTGTCTGCTTACTATTTTGGTCCCTGTGTTCAGAACAGACACTGCAAGATAGGACAAAAAAGGACAAAAAGCACATTTTTGCAAGTAGAACAAAGGTGAAGCATTACCTTTGAAGGCCTACCTGTTTCACCTGGATAAATGTCAAGGGATAAAGGCTTTTTATAGGCCCCGTGGGACACAGAACATTCAGAGATTCCTCCACTGTCTTTAACTGAAAAGAAACAAAAGCACCATCACTCACGGTCCCCCCTCCTTGGTCCTCGGAGTCAAGAACATCATTTGCAAATTATCAGAGTTAGTAATGGAGCTGACCAAACCCCTAAATAAACCCAAATGGTTCAAATTCCACTCAATCCTGCTCTCCAGCCACCTTCAATCACCTCTAGCAGTTCCCTAACTTTTGATGAAAAATAATTTGTGGTAAGGAGTTTCAAACACGCCTGCTTGCAAATACAACCTCCTGTATAGAAAAGACCCTTAAAATAAAGGGAAACCAAGGCCCAGAGGCTGCCTCCTCCCCAGCCTTCCCCCACACCCCCGAATGAAGTAACTGTGACTACGCCCTCTGAATTTGTCCACAGACATCTCCCACGCCTATACCATTTGCCAGTTGTGTTCCTCTGCCAGACTGTCAGCTCCGTAAGGGCTGGGTCTGTGCCGTGCTCACCCCCAATGCCCAGGACCTAGGAACCATTCAACAAATACACACATTCAATCCAAACGATGGTGTATTCCTGCAACACAGGATGCTTACTCTGGCTTATTCTGGTGCAGTAACAACAATAACCGCTACCCAACACTGGCTGCCTAGCAACTTGCAGGGAAGACAGAGCTTTACACATACCCCTCATCGAATCCTCACAATTACCCAGTGAGGCAGGCATCGCTGTCCCCAAGTCAGGGACCCGGACAAGCTCGCTTGGGCAGTGGCAGAGCCAGGATTCGCCGTTAGGTTTGGCTCCAAACCCTGGGCTTTCCATGACGCGACACTGGTTAGGAATGTTATAAGCACTTTCCATGGTTACCTTCCTGATGTGAGCAACGAGGAAAAAGTCTTAAGTACAATTCTGTCCATTCAGCTACTCACATGGACGCTTTCCCACTTGGACATCTCAACTCACGGTGAAAGGTTTCAGCCTATGCAACCGCGTTCCATATAACTGTCATTCAATTAGATGCTGGTTCGCTCCCTTCCACTGCATTAGTTCACAAGGAAAAGCCGTTTCTGCTCACACCATTCTCTTTCACAGTAAACAGAACCTGCTTTTGGGTGGTAAGCTAGGTTTGTTTGAGCAATGCTGCATTAAACATGTGCAGTCGTTTTCTGTTGTATCAAGTCTTCGCCACTCGAACCCCAACAAACCAACTTTTCCTCAAGTAGCAATAACAGTGAAGGAGTCGAAGACTCTCCCTTTGCAAGTGTGACTAAAGTTTGATTAATCTAAAGAAAGATGCCTATCAGGCAGAGAGACCAGCTGCGATCTCTGCAGAATGTAGCACACGTATCTGACACAGCGGAAAAAGTGACAAGAACTCAACCAACCGTAATATCGAAGGGCTTCATGAATGGAAAAATCATACAGTCATGTTTGGCATTTTGCTTAAAGATAAAAACTCATGATGCTATTTTAGAATATCAAGATTCTTAAGAAATATGCAATCGTTCTTTTCTTTTCTTTTTCTCTTTCTTGTGAGTTAACACATGTGGGAGTTAGGGATTATAAAAGGGGAAAACCTGAAGACAGAGATGATCAAAACAAACTGACTTTGGCTTACATCACTCCCTGACCATTAAACGTAATCTCTCTTCTTTTTCTCTTTCCCTAGAATAAAATGTCCGTAACTCTTATTTATGATTGATTTCTAGCTCCCCCGCTCCCATGTCTCATTTACCATATAAACTACAGACCATAAAAATTAGGACATGATTTTGAGATAATATAGGGCCACAACCTATCAAAATGTCTGTGGCTTTGGAGAACCCCCTAAGATAAAGGTGAATTATAAAAAAAGAACCTCACCAGCCATAACAACAAGGTGGCATGTTATTCCCACGAAGGCCCCTGGGACACACAGACACGCCCTCTCACCTCCCATGTCCCCACTTCCCCAGAAACATCATCTTCCCCATTGGTTTCGCAGAAAACAAATTCGCAGAAAAATAACGAACCGATGCCCCAGCATAACACTTTCACTCATGATTGCTAAATTCCCCTCCCTCACTTTCAATGATTCTGTTACTTTTTTTCTTACCTTTTTCAGAGCAACTTTTCCATATGCAAACTTCGGTGTGGACGGAGGAACAGGACCTTCTGGTACTTTTTCAAACTAGAAACCAGAGTGAAAAAACACAGAAAACAAAAACAGCTGTTAAACCCTCTGCAACATCTATACGATTCATTTTTCCGAAGGACGGTCAAAGAAAGATGAAACAGTGCCAGCGAGGTCTTGGAAAGGCAGAGGGACAAAAGGTACAACCTCTGACGGGAGGTAGCCTAGAGTAGGACAAATATTATTTGTAGATTAAATCTTTTTCTTTTCTTTATCGATTTTAGAGAGAGAAAAGGGGAGAGGGAGAGAGAGATAGAAACATCGATTGGCTGCCTCCTGCATGCCCCCCACTGGGGACTGGGCCCACAACCTGGGCATGTGCCCTGACTGGGAATCGAACTGGTCACCTCTATAGTGCATGGATTGATGCTCGACCACTGAGCCACACTGGCTGGGCTGCACAAGAAATCTTACTGGTAGATTAAAGCTGTGTGTCGATGTTAAATTGCCATGGTTATATAAGAGCATATTCCTGCCTATTCTTATGAAACATATACTGAAGTATTTAGGGATACAGGGTCATGACAAATGCAATCCTTCAGCAGTTTGGAAATCAGAATGGGGGGCAAGAGGAAGATAAATGATGAAGTGAATTGAGTGAAATGTTGACACGGTGAATCTGGGTAAGGAATATACACAGGTGTTCTTTGTACAATTTTTATTCTTGAAAGCTTTATGTAAGTTTTAAAATTTTTATGAAATTATTCTTAAATGAAAAGTTAAAAAATAAAATAGCCCTGGCCGGTTTTGCTCAGTGGTTAGAGTGTCGGCCTGTGGGCTGAAGGGTCTCGGATTCGATTCCAGTCAAGGGCATGTACTTCGGTTGCAGTTTGATGCCCAACCCTGGCTGGGTTTGTGAGGGAGGCAACCATCGATGTGTCTCTCTCACATTGATGTTTCTCTCCCTCTCCCCCCTACCCTGCTCCCACTCTAACCGAAGATAAATGGAAAAATATCCTCAAGTGAGGATTTAAAAATAAATAAATAAATAAAACCCTATTAAATATGTGTATATACACACACATATTAGCATCAGGAGATATGGGTGTAAGTCCTAGGTCTATGTCTATCAGGTTTCTCCAAGTAGATTGCACTGAGATCTTTCAGGATCCTAACCTCCTTTCCTTCCTTCCTTTTTCCATCTTTCCTTCCTTCCTTTCTCTCTCCCTCCTTCCCTTCTTTTCCTTTCTTTTTGCTTACCTTTTTAAAAGTGATTTTTCAAAAAGAAGAGATAAAAGAGTAGTATAAGGAAAAGCAGTAGTCTTCTGACTCACTACTTTCTTATATTTTTCAGAGGAAACCATTTAAAAATCATTTAATTGTCCCTATTTTTTGCATCCTTTGGTCTCTAAATAATATGCTTATCTGTTATACCTTGTTAGATCCATTTAAGATATTATCATTGATTTCTTCAATCCCTGAGAGCTTAGCTCAGTTGCACTATTCTGGGTATCTCCCTTTCTTGCCAACATGCTTATATCACCATTTTCGGTTTCTCTACTGGTTAGCTTGCTTTTCGGATCTTCATTTTTAAATCAGTGGCATGAACTCATTATAATATCAATATTAAGTCTCCATCTCTCTACCCCATTTGCCACAATCTCTTCCATTTTCTTCTAATAATTTTAGTTATTTTTCACTGATTATCATATAGCAAAATCCGCATCTTCTATCCAACTAATTAAAGTCTCAGAAAAGAAATAGACAAATACAGTATACCAAAACACTATACTTCTGACCCTTTATTTCTCCATAATAATTTGTGCTTTCACCATAATTTTCAGACTAATCATAAATATTGCTTCTTGCCCAGCTGGTGTGGCTCAGTGGATTGAGTGTCGTCCCATGGACTGAGAGGTCCTGGTTTGATTCCCTGTCAGAGCACATGCCTGGGTTGCAGGCTCCATCTCCGGTAGGGGGCGTGCAGGAGGCAGCCGATCCATGTCTCTCTCTCACATCGATGTTTCTCTCTAAAAAGTCAATAAAAACTTATTAAAAAATATATATATTGCTTCTTATCCTACTTAGTTAGCTGGACAAATTCACTAGGAAGTTGCTCTTTTCCTAATGGAATCCCATAGATTCAACGGTGACCCACTTTTCTTGTCCCAAGATCTCTAATGTTTTCATTCATTATGTAACGAAGTCTTATTAAAAACATATTTGTGTGAGGTTCTATGCTTGGCATTGGGGATATGAACAGCCTCTAACAGAGAGGGAGACATGTGTGTAGGCAAGTTAATTAACTCACTATGAGGAGTATATTCAAGATTTCTACCCTATAAGGTGGTGACCAAAAGCCAAATGGACTAACTGCAGAGAGACGGCTCCAAGACGAAGGTAACTGAGGTGTTCCCATTTCCTAGATGGATGAAGGCAGAGGGAACAGCACGTGCAGAAGCCAGGAGGCAGAAACAGCACGGCCCGTCCAGGAATCTGGTGTACCTCCGTTTTAAGGCCAGAGAGTCACTAACAAGAAGGGAGAACTGAAAGATGAGGCGTGAGGAAAACGGGGGGCCAAGCCAGAGAAAGCTTCCTGACCAGATCAGCACTTCAGACAAATCACTCTGGAAGACAGACTAGAAAAGCCAAGTCTGTGGACCGAAGATGACCAGTGCCACAAGGACAGAGTCAATGCTTTAAAAGACCAACATTCATTAAATATATTCACTTTATTATCCTTAATTATCAAACACAAAACACTGTGTTTCCACCAGTACCAGGGATTGCAAGAGAGCGTGTGTCTATCCACTGGGCTAATGTCATTCCAGCTTAAGAAAAAAGTCAGCCAGTGTAGAAAGGTCTTTTTTTTTTATTCTCACCCAAGGACCTTTTTTCATTTTTTTGTTCAGATAGAGTGGGAGGGAGAGAGAGGAAGAGAGAGAGAGAGGGAGAAACATCAACGTGAAAGGGACACATCGAGTGGCTGCCACCCGCACGACCCAACCAGGGCCGGGGACCAACTGCAACCGAGATACATGCCTTTAGCGGGAACCGAACCCGGGTCTCTCTGGACCGCAGGCCGACACTCTAACCGCTGAGCCAAACCGGCCAGGGCTAGAATGGTCTTGAGTCAAGTTTCAAACTTCATTAAGCTTTTGAAGTAGTGAAAATCTCCACGGCATTCTCAAAACTCCAGTCTCCTCCATCCCAGCCCCAGTAACTACCTCAAGGAATCCCAAGATCGACTCCAATGATCAAGGTCCTCAACTATAACGTGATTAATATCTGTAGAATAACCCACTTCCAAAAAGCCACTTGGATTCTTATCTTTGATGGATATCTCTTAAAAATTAGGTCTTATATTGATTCAAAAGCATACAAAAAAAATCAGCCCTGGCCGATTTGGCTCAGTGGTTAGAGCGTCAGCCTGCGGACCAGGGAGTCCTGGGTTCGGTTCCCGCTAGGGGCATGTACCTTGGTTGTGGTTTGTTCCCGGCCCCAGTTGGGGTCATGCGGGTGGCAACCAGTCAATGTGTCCCTTTCACGTCGATGTTTCTCTCTCTCTCTCTCTCTTCCCCCCTCTCCCTTCTCGCTCTATCTGAAGATAAATGCAAAAATGTCCTCTGGTGATGATAAAAAAAAAAAAAGCATACAAAAATCAACTCGCCACTGCCCCTTTAGGACTGGGTGGGGTGGAGGAGGGGTGGTGCCCGACAGTCTCATGGTTCATCCTCGAGGTCAAAGTGTTAACCATTTCTGGTTGAGTTTACCCACACCAAAGAGAATACCGTAGAAAATGCAAATGTCACCAGCTTTTTCATGCCATCGAGAGTCATAAGCGAAGGGCCGCCTGGAGCTTCCCCACTGAGCACAGGCTTGTTCACGGCGGGAGATCATCACCCTGGGAGGCACCGCCCGTGAAAGATAGTGCCCACCCCCCAACTGGCTCCGGAAATGGATAAATGGAGTAAGGAGGAGATGCATTCCACTTTGTAAGTCTTTGGGGAAGAAAAGAGGCAGGAAGAGCTATAAATGGGGGGTATGTACAATCCCACTGTTTCTCTTGATGCAAGCAAATAGTTTGAATACCATTTAACACACCAGCTAACTGACCATCTACAGAGTCTCAGAAGAGCTCACTTCTAAAGTAGTTTAGTTCTCTCTTCTAAGCTTAAATATCAAAAAGAAAAGGGGGAAAAGATGACTAGAGGTGAAGCTACAATCTATCATAAGCTATTGAACTACATTCATTTCTGAAGACTCTGTGTCCTTCGTGGACTTATTTTGCTGTGACCCCTTGTTCTACGCTCGGGATCCCCGGGTTTGTCTTTTGCTTGGCCCACTGCCCTTCTTGCTCAGTTCTCCATGGCCCACCGCCCTTCTCGCTCAATCTCAACCTTCCCTGGACTTGAGCCTCCACTTCTACTGCTGACCCCAGAATCTGAGCCTGTCCTAATGACTTTTTTCTGGAGCTTTTCACTCTTAAGTGAGGTGCCTTCTGGAGAGACACCTCCCCAGGATGTCACCAGAGGCATCTTGAATTGAACGAGCCCCAGACTGAATTTGCTTCCCCCACCCCATTCCCAGCCTGTGCTCTCTCTGAAATCCTCTATCTTAGTTGCTGGGCCCGATACCCATTCAGTTATCCAATGAAGGTGGTAACCTGGACAAATCAATAACTCCTCATTCCTTCTCATCTGCATTAAGTCAATTGCCAAACCCTATCGATTTTACTTCCTAAATATTTTTTAAATCTGCTGCTTCCTCTCCAGCAGGGACTCCCTGATGTCCCTGCAGCCTGCTAACGCACCCTCTGCATCCAGAAATGCCCCAAGGCAGGGTCCTACCAGTGTCCTCGTGATTATAGGTTTTTGTAAAATCTGCAAAATCAATATAATTTAACCACAGCAGGCTAAGGCCCTTGCCTCTTTCTGCACCAGCTTTCCTGTGTCACTCACCCTCTTCCTTCAGGAGGCTTCAGTGTGACTATAGGCATCTTTGGGATCCAACCAAAGGGGGGTTGAGGAAGGGATTTGTTTAATTTGAATATAGAA